CGCAAGGAGCTGTACCCCCCAGCCGAGTACGCCACGACCGTACCCCCACCCGCTGGGTACGTCGAGATCTGCACCCCCATAGTTGGGCAGATGACGCCCTAAGCAGTAGCATTCCGAAGCTTGCTGTTGGCCGTTAGGCCCACAGAGGTGGCTGCTCGTGCGATGCCCAACCACCGCGGGACCTTCCACCCTTCAAAGAAACGTGCAGTCTTACATCACGCTCCTCCTCCTCCTCCTCCTCCTCCTCCTCCTCCTCCTCCTTCTCTTCAGTCCTCCCTCCCGCCCTCCCTCCCTCCTTGCCTCCTCCTCCCTTCAATCTGACTTCAGCGTGGACACATGACATTCCGCGCGGCAGCAGCAGGCCAAAGTGCCAGACCACCAAACTGCCGCACACGGGACGACAGGGGGAACCATTGACTTGGAGTCGGCGATGCATCGCCGACTGATCTGAGATCGGCTCCCGACAGCGAAAACGCCCGTTGCTGGGTAGGCTGGGGCACCGAGGCCCCGATCGGCGATGATTCGGCGATTGGGGGTCGATGCTTCCCCCCCCCCTTGACTACCTACCAAGCCCCCCCCCAAACCCAAACCCAACCCAACCCGAAGTCCCCGGTGGGCTCGTCGATTTCCAGCGTGGGGGCACTCGGGAACATCGAGGAGACACGATGGAACCCGCACATCCCCCGACCCGAAGACTTGTTGGGTCTGGGACCTTCGGTTTGGGTTGGGGTGGCTTGGTGAGTAGTGACCCATGAGACAGCCCCACCCTGCCGTCGCCCCTGAATGCAGCACGCGATGCGCTCTGGCGCGCAACAGTACAACCCTTCCACCACGCTTCCCAAGAGCCGTGCGTCCCAAGACCGACAACAACGGCGGAGAACACCCCTTCCCCCTCCCCCACATCCACCTCTTCCTCGTCGCCCCCGCCGGCGTCCGCGCCCTGCGGCCGAGGGCCGCCCCGCTGGGCCTCCGCGCTGCCCACGCCGTCCGAGATGCCGCCCAGCAGCGGCCCCGCCGCGGACTGCCACAGCGCGACCAGAGCGGCCGCGGCGCCCGCGCCTCCAGCGAGGAACCGCCAAGGCGGCCCGCTCGCGCGCTGCCTCGCGCGCAGCTTCGCCTGCACGTCGCCTGGCCGGGGGGAAGGGCGTCGCGGCTCGCCGCCGTCGCCGCCGTCGTCGCCGTCGTCGGCGTCGTCGTCGTCGCCGCCGACGCCGTCGTCGCCGTCGCCGCCGCCGTCGCCCGTGCGACCAGCCAGTCTGGCGGCGAGCGGGTCTCCTCAGATGGAGAGAAGGAAGAACACGGCAGAAGCATCAACGTTTGGACGCCCGCGCAAAGTTCTTGGGTCGGCGCTGGGGCTCCCCTGGCGGCGCCTATGGCGCCGCCCCTGGCGCGCTCCGCGCGCCAGGGAGGGGATCCAGCGCCGATTCGATAAGCCCCCGCAGACCTCCGAAAGTTTCTGCTATGTTTGGGCTCGTTCGAAAATACCCCTGGGGGAACCCATCGTGCCGACGATCTGTCAAGCGGGTTGTCGAAGCCGATGAGCCCCCCAGGGGGGTAAGGACCACAGCTCCGGCTGTTGTGCCGATTCGACTCTCTCATCACGGAGGCAGTAAGCTCTCTGTTCTCCATTAGCATCACTCGGCGGTGGACAAACCTCCCTTTAGTAAACCACCCTTTAGTGAAAACGGCCTGGGACCGAAACCGACGGACCTGGACCCGCAACAATGACGGCCGCGACGCCCTCTCGCGAACCGAAAACGGCCAATTCGCTAATCGACGTGTCAGGGTAGGAGGTCTGCCCACCCCCGAATCACCACGTCGGCGCACCCTTGCCGAAATTGGCCAGCGGTAAGCAGAAAACGTAGAGGTCATGCTGTGGCGTGCCCTGACAAGTGTACGCACGTTTCTGGTCGCACGATTGGCGGTGTAGGCTAAGATTAGGTCGGACCTGTCCCCCTTACAGGGGGAATTTTGGACGACAAATAAAAAAGACTAAAGACATTCCCAAACAAAAGATGCCACAAAAATACTCAAAACATAGTCCCCAGACTATTTTGTTTACTAGTTCGAATTTTCCCCCTGTAAAGGGACAGGCCCGGCTTAAGGCTAAGAGCTTAATTACTGACTGCTCGTGGTCTGGAACAGGCCGCCCGCTGGAAGCATTGGGCGCCCGGCCTTCGGCTGCACGCCAGAGCGACCCTCCCGAGCAGGAGTGGCCGCTGGTGCGCAGCTTGCTGCCTGTTGCATGCGGTGCAGTGCAGCCCTGCTCTCGCCAGCGTGAGGCGCTCTGGCGTGCAGCAATACGCCGCCTCTGCCGCCCTTCGCGGCCTCTGGTCTGGTCAGTCCGGACCTGGGTGCCCTGTTGGCCCCTCGTTTGGACGCGTAGCCCTTCACCATCACCGCCACTGGCGCGATCACAAGACCATCACCACTGCCTCCGAAATCTAACATCACCATCGCGGCCACCTTCGCTTTCGCCATCTTCGTCTTCCGCGGCGATAGCGGGCGCTATGGGGGGGGGAGGGGGGGCGCGGGTGGGGGGGGGGGGAAAGTGACGCCCGCGCCCCCTCTCCCCCTCCTCCTCCTCCTCCTCCTCCTCCTCCTCCTCCTCCTCCTCCTCCTCCTCCTCCTCCTCCTCCTCCTCCTCCTCCTCCTGTGGTGCCAGACGCTCAGCGGCAGTGCGAGGGGCGCACTGGGCGGGGGGGACCGTTGCGGGGGAGGAGGAGGGAGGGGGGACGGGCGAGCAGAAGGGGGGAGGAGAAGCGTCATGGGGGGGGAGGAGGAGGAGGAGGACAAGCTAGGTGCGCTCGCGTCATATCTGACGTCCTACCCCTCCCTCCCATCCCTTACCATGGCGCTGATTTTCTCTATCCGCGGACGCGTGTCGTAGCGGACCTGTGGCTCCGCGCGCGCGTGCGTAACTAGTGGGTGGTGGTGCGTGCGTGCGTGCTGGTGCTGGTGCTGGTGTGGTGCTGGTGGTGGTGGTGGTGGTGGTGGTGGTGGTGGTGGTGGTGGTGGTGGTGGTGGTGGTGGTGGTGGTGGTGGTGGTGGTGGTGGTGGTGGTGGTGGTGGTGGTGGTGGTGGTGGTGGTGGTGGTGGTGGTGGTGGTGGTGGGGGTCGGCCCGCGCTGGGGCGAGAACGCCATCCTGAGGCCCACGCTGGAGCGGGAGCACGATTCGGAACGATTCGGGAGCAGAAATGAGGCCGGCGCCTCAGCGAGAGCAGCATTTTAGAAAAAAACACAAGCGAAAACCCAACTCCGGGGAATCCTGTGTGTAAAAAAACAATACGCGGGGGGGTGCCGAATATCTTCCGGACGCCATCAGGGGAAGTGGGAGAGTATTTTCATATTGTGTAATTGTGGAGGAGGAGGAGGAGGAGAGGAGGAGGAGGGAGGGGGAGGGAGGAGGAGCGTTAGGGTGGGGGGAGGTGGGGGAGGGGGGACGGGGGGGGAGGGGAGGGGAGGGGAGCAGAGCGCGCTTTCTGGCCCAGACGGTAACCAAAAACACCCTCCAACTCCCCCCCCCACACATCCCGCGCCTCCCGAGGGCCGCGCGCCGGAAGCACGCCAGAGGAGGGCCACTCGGCCTTCGGCACATTCGGGCCCACGGCGGCCGCTCGAGACGATCGGGGGGTACCTCACGGAACGCCCGCGGTGAGGCGCAGCGAGTGAGCGAACGAAAGAACGAACCACCTCTGCGGACAGCTGTCCGGCCCTACTCAAGACCTGGTGGGGGAGGCCGTGGCCTCCTGAAACCTGTACGTATGGACTGCACGCAAACATGCATATGATCAGCGAGACGATAACAAACGTATGACGAAAGAGGGGAGGAGAGGAGGAAGCCCTGGATGCGGATGCCGGTGAGGCGCAGCGGGTGGAACGCATCCCGAATAAAGAAAGCTTGGCGGCGCGCACAATGGAGTATGGGGGGGGGGGGGAAGGCTTCTTAGGGAGAGGTTGCTTCTTAGAAGGCGCCGGCCTTACATCTACAGGCAAGGCCCGCGCCTTCTAAGAAGCAGGGGTGCTTCCAAAAAGCCTTCCCCCATCCCCCAACCCCCCTCTGCGCGTGGCTGAAAGCACTCCAGGAACGGACGCAAACGTCTACAGTCGGGGCGTTGACCTAAGGAACCCTAAATAAGGAACGAGGCCCCTTTTCTCCAGAAGTTGAACTTCGATTTCCCTTCGAAAACCTAAGGAAAACGCGGGGCAAACTGTGAAACAATTAAGGAACACCGAGCCCCTCCCCAACGAAAAGGGTTCCTTCTCCAGCGCCCCGACTGTACAGCGTCCGACGACGTTCGACGGCAGCTGCGGGGACGTGTCCCGAGGCAGGGAGCCTCCAGGAGCCGACGAGGACCTCCGGGGAGGCCGAGGCCGTCCGAGGGCGGCCGCCGGAGCGCACCCGACGAGCCGACGAGAAGCAGACAGGGGGAAACGTATAGAAATAACACGACACGCGTCCGAAGGCGTCCGCCCGTCGAAATGCCCCCCCTCCTTAAGAGTGGATTAACCAGGGTTCAGTAACCAGGTTTTAGGTTTTATACCTTGTCTTGGGGTTGATTTTTCGGATGGGGACCTATCACCCGGTCTACCTGGGCCTAACACCCGGTCAATTCCGACTTAAGACTTGGTCCGCGCACAAGGGGCGCTTCACAGTTTTATATAAAGCCACATAAACCTAACACCCGGTTTCTGTTCCCTGGTTAATCGCTTCTTAACCTCCCCCTCTTTTCGCCCACGCTCTTGTCCCCCCCTCTTTTCGCCCACGCGCTCCGGCGTATGGCTTGACTGACTGACCCCCCCCCGCCGCGGCGCCCGCGCGGCCCGCGCCCGCTGCGGTGGCCGCGCGGCGGCGCTCCGCGGGGGCCATGCCGCGCGGATAGGCCGCCGGGGCTGGGCGGAGCGGCCTCCCTTGGCTCTCCGGCGACAGGATTTTTGCCCCGCCACCCTCTGGCGATGTGACCTCCGCCAGCTCTGGCCATCGCTCGGACGACCATTCCCTGTGCCTTTTTTCGGTTTCGTGCGTGGGCTTTTCGCCAAAAGATCAAGGATGCTCCTCGATGGTCCTCGCCGAAGGAAAAATGCACACGTCCGAGCGATGCCAAGAGCTTCTCGCTTCGCTTCGGCGTCCAGGCGGGGCCATCAAAGCTCCCCCTGGAACCGGGTGCCCCCCGGCAGAGGTCTGGGCCGCTCTGGGCGCGGCCTCGCCTCGGGCGCACGCCAGCACGGAGTTGGGGTGCGGTCAACCTGCGTCAATGAGGGTGGGCATGCTTCCCAAGGGTGCCCTTGCATCCTTGCCTCCTCGGTCCATCCTTGGCCATTTTTCTTGCCTCGGTCCATCCTTGGTCCTTGGTCCTCGGTCCATCCTTGGTCTTCGGTCCTCGGTCCATCCGTGGTCCTCGGTCCATTCTTGCCATTCTTGCCTCCTCGGTCCATCCTTGGTCTCGATGCATCCTTGGCCACTTTTTCGGCTACACACAAGAGCGACCCTGGGTGATAGTGACCCTTGGTGCGCGGCTTTGGGGGGGCCGCGGGGGGACCAATCTCAGGCGCGCAAGACGCCACCATCGCATCGCAATCGGTGATCGGGGGACCCCACAGTGCCCGCACCAAAGGTCACTCCAGCGAAAGGTCACTCTTACGTGTAGTCGACTTTTGTTGGCCGCGCCCCGCTCAGAAAGCTCCGAAACGGCCTTCCAAGGCGGCCATTGCATCCTTGTCGCGCATCGTCATGACACGGGTTGACTGTACGTGGATCTGGTGCGCGGTCGCCAGATCCACTGATCGGGATACAGTCGGGGCGTTGACCTAAGGAACGATAAATAAGGAACGGGGCCCCTTTTTCCCACAAGTTAAACTCCGATTCCCCATCGAAAACCGAAGGGAAACCCAAGGCAAACTGTGAAGCAATCAAGGAACACGGAGCCCCTCCCCAACGAAAAGAGTTCCTTCTTCAGGGCCCCGACTGTAGGCGCCCCCCGAAGCATGAAGCCGATGCCGCCCCACCTGGCGACGCAGAAATCCAGGAAACAACGCCGGAGTGGAACAAAAATCGTGTCCTCGCAGATCTCTGGGCCCGTCGCTCGCCCACGCGCCCCAATCTACATCAGCGCTCCCTCGATGACGGAGAAATCCAGGCAAAAACGCCAGAGTGGAACATCGTGTCCTCGCAGATCTCTGGGCCCGTCGCTCGTCCACGCGCCCCAATCTACATCGGCGCTCCCTCGATGACGGAGAAATCCGGGCAAAAACGCCGGAGTGGAAGATCGTATCCTCGCAGATCTCTGGGCCCGTCGCTCGCCCACGCGCCCCAGTCTGCAGCGGCGCTCCCTCGATCGCCAGCCCTGTCCGTGACGGGCCCCTCCGGTGACGGCCCCCTCGCCCGTGCCGTTCTCCCTCCGGTCGCCCACCCGCGTCGTGGGGGGGGGGGTCGTCACGGGGTTAGGGAGCCCACAAAGGACGTACGCGCCCAGCTATGTACATGAACACGGCCCCTCGATTCGCGAGACCGGCCGCGTTATACGAACATTTGTGCAATGCGTGCTCTCGAAACCAGCGTGGATTCATGTACATGTACGTCCTTCTTTCGCTCCTGAGGGGTGGAGGGGTGGGGGAGCTGCCAGACGTCACGGGTTGGTCGTCACGGGGGGGGGGGTCCTCACGGGGGGGGTCGTCACGGGGGGGGGTCGTCATGGGGGGGTCGTCACGGGGGGGGGGTCAGGGCGAGGCCGAGGGGGGTCGTCATGGGAGGGCCGTCCATGACGTCGGTGGGCCGCGGACTGGAAGCACCACACCCTCCGTCGGCGGTGCAGAGGTGGGGCCCTGAGCGATGGGGACCTCGGGGTAGGAAGGGGTCCAAGGGTGCATATTACTTCCTTTGCCGCACCTCGTCAACAGGTCGCCATCCCTTCATTAGCATGGGGGAAGCGGGTCTTGAGGGGAACGGGTCCTGGACCCAGGGTCCATCCCCAGGACGAGATTGAAGGGGCCCTGGGACACACAAATAAATACACACAAATCACAATATTCCCCATATTTTCCTATATCTCATGGGTTTTTGTCTTCCCCCCCCCCCACTTCCCATATTTCCCAATATTTTCCTGTGGATCGACGATTCATTGTGTCTGTATTTTTTTTTTCCCCCCTCCTGAGAGATGACTGCTCATCCTGAGCAGTTTCCTGACAGTCCGGGGGCCCGTGCAGGGCCCCGAAGGCCCGAAGACAACGCGGGAAGACCTCAGGCGGCCCTTTCCCTCCAGACTGGCGGCGCGCACAACGGAATATGGGGAATGGGGACTCGCCGTCGCTCGGACGTCCATTCCTCGTGTATTCTTCGATTTCGTGCGTGCTTTTTTCGCTCAGTCATCCAGAATGCTCCTCCATGGTCCTCGCCGGGGAAAAAATGCACATGTCCGAGCGATGCCAAGGGGAAGGATTCTCAGGAGGCTGCTTCTTGGAGGGCGCCGGCCCTGCATCTGTAGAGGAGGCCCGCGCCTGCTAAGAAGCAGACGTGCTTCTAAGAAGCCTCCCCCCCCCTCTCCCCCTGCCCCCCTCCGCGGCGTGGCCGACCACGAGGAGCAAATCGTGTGGAGATAAATCGAGAATCTCTGAGATGCGGCGGGCTTTGGAAGATGCCTTCCTTGGGCGCCGCGGCCTTCTCAGAGCGTTCCGGAACGCTCTGGAAAGGATTTATCCTCGTCCTGGCCCCGTCCGACTGCCTCCTCTCTGCTGGGCAACCCTCGCTCTGGAATGCTTTGCGAGCGTTCCGGAACGCTCTGGAACGGATTTCTCCTCGCCCTGGCCCCATCCGACTGCCTCTCTGCCGGGCAAGCCTCGCTCTGGAACGCTCTGCGAGCGTTCCGGAACGCTCTGGAACGGATTTCTCCTCGCCCTGGCCCCGTGCGGTAGGCCTCCATCCCTCAAAACCCCGTATCTGAACCACCGGGTCCAGATGCCCGGGTCGGGAGGGGGAGGCGGAGGAGGAGAAGGGGGAGGATGCGGAGGAGGAGGAGAGGGGGAGGAGGAAAAGGGGGAGGAGGCGGAGGAGGAGAAGGGGGAGGATGCGGAGGAGGAGGAGGAGGATTTTTCCTCCAATAGAATCAAGCAAACAAGCAATCCTTGCGGCCATGCCTGGTCGTGCTGTCGTCGGAATAACACGTATTCATAAGAGTGGACTGCGCCGAATAGGCGATGGTGGCAGAACTGGAAGAGTACAGCAGGTCGCGCGCAACAGCGGCTGGTATTAAGAGGAACACGCACCTGCACGATGCACGCCGCCTCCTCGGGAAAAAAACACCCCTCGGGAATCCCGCCAACAGCTTGGTGGCGAGAAAGAACCGTGAGGTCGAGACCACGCAGGCGCGAGCCACCGGTGGGGGAGGCCAGCGACCCTGCAGAGGAGGAAGAGGAGGAGGAAGAAGAAGGAAGTCAAACAAAAAAGATAATAAGGAGGAAGAGGAAAGAACAGGAGGAGGAGGCCCCGTCCGATTGGCCCCGAAAAGTAGGAGGAGGAGGAAGAGAAGGAAGAGACAAAAAGGTCCTTTAGTCAACGACTTCCGATTCTCGGTTCCTGGCACCTGGTTCCCATATCCCCGTTCCCAATTCCTTGTTCTGGGGGTCCTGCGGTTCCTGGCTCCCGGTTCCCAGCTCCCGGCTTCCCCCGGTTCCTGGCTCCAAGTTCCCGGTTCCAGGGCTTCCGGTTCCAAGTTCCCAGCGCGGCTGTTTGTACTTGGAAGCATCTTGGTTTACGTTAAGTTAGTTACTTACTAAATTGTTACAAGCATACGTTAAATATGTATAAGCACAACATAAACCACTACAAGTTCTCATAACCTGTTATAACGCACGCATAAGTACTTAGCAAAGCCAGCTAACGTTTAGGGTGATTTACGGCTCGTTAAGATACTTTAGATTTTCTTAACATCGTTACTAAGAGTTACGGTTGGTTTAGTAAGTATGCGCCTAACGCGAGCTAACCAAGCTAAGCCATGTTAACTCATGTTAAACCATTGAGTTCACCCAAATTAAAGTTAAAGACAGCTTAGCCACCGTTAGCTAACGCATTATGAGGACGATCTAAACGTTAACATGCTTTAGCATGTGTTAACACAGCTTGACATACTTTAGCATGTGATAACCTACTTTAACATGATTGACTTAACACTTAACATGAGTTAACATGAGCTAGCTAACCCTTTAACATAGTTTAAGATAGGTTAGGTCAGCCTTTATAAGATCAGCTGCCACTGTTTTTACGCATTGTTTTTTGTGTATGATTGTCAGGTCATGGTATGCTACAGAAGCGGTTGTCTCATGTGTTTTCCTGTTGGTTGTCTACTAGTGTTGTTCCGCATGTATTTTTTCTTGGTTTTTGCGTGTGATTGGTTCGATGCATCTTGTTGTTGTTGTTTTCTGTGGGTTGACATGTGTTGGTTCGATCGCGATGTGGGTCCGCAGTGGTTTTTTCGTGAAATCGGAGTGGTCTCTAAGTTGAACCCGTTGAGTTTTTTCATGTAGGTTAGCATGTTGCGTTCCGACCATGATGTCTTACATGTATTGTTTCCCCCATCTGTTTTGCATGCGATATAGACCATGCGCTACATGCATTGTTTGTTTTTCTTTTTATGCATGTGATATTGCGACGCTCATTTGCTGCAAAGTGGTATTCCGATTATGGCGTGTTAACAATCTTAAATAGTGTCTCTATGTTTTTTGTTCGTGCGTTCTTGAGACCGTGGTGAGTTGCAATTATGGCTTTCTCGCGTGTTTTCTTCAGCGCGGATCAAGCGCGTTGCATGTGGCATTGTGACTTGTTGCTTTGCACGCGGCATCCCGCCCATGATGCGTTGCATAATGTTGTCGTATTTCGGGTGGGAAGCTTGATCGGCGCATGTGTTTTCATTGGTTGTGCGTGCGGTGGTGCGATCATGATGTTATGCGCGGTTCGTTTTTTGTTCGCTTTGAGGTTGCCTCCCCCGATCAAGATGTTAACGGGTTCGC